CCGGAGAGGTGACGCCCAGGGCTAAGCGAGCGGCGCGCATCCGGGGCGGGCGCGGCGGCTCTGGGAACCCGGCAGCGCTGCGGGGAGGGGAAGGACAGGTCCCACCATCCAAGTCCTCTTACCCCCGCAACCTCTAACTTCCTGAAACCGGGCTCAGATGCCACGTACCCTGCTTTGGTTGGGGGATGCAAATGGGCACTGTGCAAAGGGTTCAGTGCTTCGCTGCATTTGGGAGCAGGTCGGAAAAAACGATCCCTAAAATCTTAGCCCTGGATCTGACGTCAGCTACACACCAGATAACACCTGGTCCAAGTGGCTCCAACTCCTGGGATTCAAAATGTGCCTGTTGGAGTCCATGTCCAACTTTGCTTACTCCTCCTAGCCGTTTCCTCCTAGAACTATCCATCTTCAGAGTCTCAGTGGCAGGTGTAGGTGTCCAGATGGACTGCCTCCTCAGAGCCGGGTGAGGACACCATCCCCTCCTCACCAGTCACTGAAGTCTGATGAGGCTGCCAGTGCAGTTCACCCTAGGGTCTCTCCTAAGATTCAGAACCCACTTCTGCCCTTACTCTGCTGGAGTCTGTAAGGGTCACAGGAGGAAGAGTGGGGGTGTTGAGCTGGGCCCCAGGGGACTGGCTGAAAAGAAGACAGTGGCTAATCTCTGGATTGTATCGCAGCTTGAAATGCAATCCCACTGTCCTTCCGGTCCAGAGGATTTGGGCTTCTTTTTCTGCCCCATCTGTTGGTGTTCAGCAGCCTGGAGAGGTGACCTGGAAGCTGGGTTTGGGGTTCGGTGGAGGTGGGGGGGTCTGCCGGAATTAGCTCTGCAGCTCTGCCCAGGGGCTGGCTGCTTATGTAAGAACTTTTAACGGCTTAAGAGGCTGCTAGGTGAAGCCTGGCCTCTCCTGCCCCCGCAGGCTGTCTCTCTAGAATTGACTTAATTTCAGGCAACTCTATCTTTCTTCCCATCCAGAAATCCAACTACTGGGGCTCAGGGTAGATAGACGATAGAGAGGCCACAGGAGGTGAGGGAGTGTGCTGGGGCACATAGGGGCTTGAAGGAGGCAGTGCCTTGGTTGGAGCAGGTATTGCACAAGTACCATTTCAGAGTTCAGATCAGGGCCGGCAGAGGCATCCCTTCTCCAGATTGTACTTCTGCACTGAGGGGCTATCTCCACCCTACCAGCCTGTGTAAAACCTGACACCCAGCCAGGTGGTGTAGTGAGATTCAAAACCTGCTGCCTAGACCTCCATCTGCCCTCACTAGCTTAGAGCTGTGGGAAGAGGACAAGGTATCATGAGAAGTCTGAGTTTGAGGCCAGAGTTATTGCTCTCTGGCCTGAACCTGGGAAAACTATGTCCCCTATCCCAGCTCAACAATGTCAGGGTTATTACCCACTCCCCGCCAACTCCCCCCTCAAAGGTGTTTTGAAATCTTGTCCCTTCAAATAGCCCAGACTAGAAACAGACCTCTGGGCTCCCTGTCGGGACCTTGGTCCCCAGCTAGTCACTGTTTCCTCTCTATCCTGAGGAAGGGGCCTAAAGGGGCTTGGACCTACTCTCTCGCCCTGCTGCCCTCACAGCTGCTAGGTGGGGAGCCTCAGGGGACCCACAGCCCTTCCTTGAGCTGAGGAGTCCCTCTGGTTGCCTGGTGTCTCCTCCCCATGGAGGAAGCAGCTGGGGAAGATCAGGAAAAGGGAGGAGGAAAGCGGGGGTGGGGGGTGGAGGGTGGGGGGTGGATTAACAGTCTCCGGAAAAGGACAGCCTAACCCAGGGCTGAGCCCAGCAGCTTAGAGTAATGAGGAGCCCTGACATAGGTCAGAGCAGGAGAGGGTGTGGGGCAGCAGGAGAAGGGGAGTGGTGCTGTGACACCTGTCACCACTGGGAAGAGGACCCTCCACACAACTCAGCCTGGCAGCCTCCTCCCCTGGTTCTGAGTTCTAGGCTGGGGCAGATGTCATACTAAGGCCATCTGAGATGGCAGAACTCAGCTGCTGTCCTGGGCCCCAGTCCTGGTGGAACCCTGAAGAGTACTCTAGCCATTCCTGTGACCCAGAGCATGTCCATCTGAGCCCCAGAGAAATCCAGGGGCAGCCTGTGCACTGTGCCTGCAACTGCCATTCCATCACCATCCTTCTACGGCCAGAGAGTTGCCCAGGACAGCTTTGAATGGCCAGTGCTTTCTCCAGCTGGTTTCACTGCTCTGCATGCAGGTGGCCAGTAAGAGGTCCTAGTGCTGGTCCCCTTAGGGTAACCCCCTCCCCATATGGCCTAGGCCCTCTGGATGAGTCTGTGAGTGCCCAGGGGACAAGTGCGCCCCAGGCATCCCTGGCAAAGCTAGCCCCAGCCCGCCCTCAGCAGAGAACCTTGGCAGGCCCGCTCCCTCCTTCCCAACACCAGAGAGCCTCCAGAGGCCCCTATCAGGAGCCTCCTTGGGCTCCCTGGGTGGAGAGGGAAGTTTGGGGTTCCATGATTTTCTGGTCCCCCACAGTAAGAGGACAGACGATGCTGTGGACTTCTGTGAGTCTCCTGCAGCACTCTCAGCCTCATGGGCCTCATTGCCCTGGCTCTGTGGAAAGCGTCCCCTCCCCTCTGCACACAGATGGAACAGTCTGTGTTTTCCTGGCAGGGTCCCGGGGCGTCACTGGGAGAGGCTGGGCATCCCAGGGAGCCTCCCTTGGGCCTGGCTGCTACCACACTGCTGAGAGGTAAACAAATCCAGCCTCAAGGGCTGGGGAGGGAGGGAGAGCCACAGGCAGCCACCTTGCCAGGAAGAGGACCTTGTCCCTGGCCCACCTTTCCTTCACCTCACCAAGAAATTAGCTGTAGAGACTATAGGACAGAGGAAGGATACGTGGCATCTGGGCAGGGGGGATCTGTTTTCTAGCTTTTGGTCAGGGAATAGCATTTATAGTTCTGGTCACATAAGGGGGAAGAGTCTGCCTGCCCGCTGCCACCCCATCTACCCCCATGTGAATCAGTTTGCTACCTAAACTTACTACCTTCATGCAGAAATCTGGGTCTTGCTGGGCACTCAGGGCCACCAAATTTCTGCTTTGAGAAATTCTCAAAACTTCTCTAGTCTCTGTCCTAATTTGTATGTATCCTTACTTGCCTGAGCCAAGCCTGTGACTCTCCCTCACCTTCCCATCACAATACCCTCCCTAATAAAACCAAACTTTCCTCTCTGAGGTTAAAACCCCTGGTATCCACACCACTTTCTGAGCTGTGGATAGGGCAGGATGTCAGTCTGAAGCACTGGACCAGGACTCAGAGGCAGTACCTGTCCCCACTCCCTCCTGAACTGTAGGTTTTGCATCTGCAAAGTGATGATACCTAATAATTGGCAATTAATGAATTGTACAGTAAATGTGATCACTTATGAAAAGTGCCTTGTAAATTGCAGAGGGCTCCAAGGCCACGCAAAGGTCAGGAAGTGTCATTGTTAAGAATGCCTACCCCCTAGGAATGATACCTGGTTGTGGGGAGCAGGGAGGTGGGTGCACTGCCCTGAGGATGCAACTTCAGACTCGTGTATGTTAGGAAGCTGTGAGCCCAAGCCAGTTCCTCAGGGCTCTGGGCTCTGATTAGAGTCTGGGCCTTAGTCTTGTGTAAGGCAAACGATGTTAGAGGACCCCTGGGGCCAGGGAGTAGAGCCAGGGGAGACTCAGGCCAGAGGGGGCGGGGTGGCCCGAGGTGGCCTAGGCTACCGCTGGCCTGGGGGAGACGCTGTAGGGGGCCTAAGAAGGCGGGGCGAGCAGAGGCTGGAGGGCGTGTC